GAATCTTCATTCAAATTCACATTATTTGCTTTTTTTGGAAATCTATCGATTATTGTCAAAAATCTGCACTGATGCAATCGAAGTTGCGAAGCTTGTTGCAATTGAATGTCCTGTTTATTATTTTTTGATCGTCTGTAATGTATACGAGCTGAGTTTGTGGTAGCGTCCATTGGAATTATTTAAGGAATTTCGCTATGAGGAGAAAAATACCTGCATAATATCGGTGAGAGTTGAAGTGAATAAAATGATTCATTCGGCTGATTGTGATGAATGAGGAAAGAAATTTCTAGGGCTTGTATTTTGCTCTGCACTGAAATTCATTCGTTGTAAACAGTAGTGAAACCAGATAAGCAGTTCGGCGAGAAACTGTTCGGTGAACAGTTGATTGCCGACAAATCTCTGAATCAATGTTTGTGATCGTTTCATTGGAATTTTTCAAGGTGACATCCCAACAATAGTGCTTTGCAAAAAATGAATAGGTTAATCATACGCTTGAATTATGCCAGTAAATCGATTGAATGATCTGAATAGTTCAATTTCATCACAGCAATTACATTGCTTGATCATCAGACCGATGGCTCCGCTGCATCATTTGTCTAGAATACTTTTCAAATTCCAAGACGGAACCAGCCTCGAAGCTACTCGAACGGTCCTTCAATCTGATTCAGCGTTAACAAGACAGCTAACGTCAATCTGAGTCATGCAAATTAGTGTCTCGTGACGGTTTCGATTAATATCATGTTCGGTGACAGACACTCTGTGAGAAATTTCATAGACACCCAAACAACAACTGAGAAGCGTGATTTTGAAATGATCTCAATTAGACACCAACTAATTGCATTGTGTTTTTTTATTGTAATTGCACGATGCGATTTTGTTGTTACTATGCGATGAATTTGTCGCGGACGTGAAAAACTTGTAATTGATTCGTGAATCATCTCTGAATATTTATCGTTCTGACGTCTATCACTGTTGAACTTCACTTCTTTGATCAGATATAAAGGAGTTGAAATGCACTCCGCAAGTGCACATTTGCATCAAATTTCAAGATTCAGTATTCGGAAGTATCGTCGATTGTAAAGTGTTCCTGTTTCAACGATGAGATAATCAAGTTTCATTGACTGATGAACTTTACTGCGGAAAAAATTTCAAAAGTTCACTCTTTCTCAACGATGATGACAAAATTTCGTTGCACTATAATCCCGCCTACAGTCGATCGTACTTCCCGTACATAAGAACTGTATGTTTATGGGTGTGTGCGTTTTAAGGAGGCCATCTTGATGAATTGATCGCTGTTTTGCTCTTTGATTGACGTTCAGAAGTCGGCGTCAAGCGAGGAACCGGAAACAACGGATGAAGTTTATAATGCCCAACTCAATCACAGATTTATCAATCAGCAGTTCTCGTTCTTCCTTGTCAAGTGGTCGGATTCTTTATTGCTTGGAAAACTTCAATACTGGAAATCAAAACTGCCTTCCTCTCGAAGATCCTAGTTGTTCTGGTCAATGATCGTTGCTGCCCCTGTATCTCCCTCAAATCCAGTTCGATAACACAAGATATGCAATTTCAGCGTTCTCTGAGCTCCTTTGCTTCGAATATGATAATGAATCCTACTGAAGGATGTTGAGTGAAGGATTTTACTGTTACTGTTCATTTGAGTGCTTTGATTCNATCTGCAAAGGTTGCCTTTCACCTAGGCTGTCTTAAGCGGATATAATATGTCTCCTATGTTCGCTACGATGTTTCTGTAGTCATTTTCAATGACGGGATATTCAATTGAATCGTTTGTGGTCTACGATACATGCGTGTTCTATCTGTTGTTAACTGATAACATAAGCGATCCAGTTATGAGACGAGAGAAACTGCATTCAGGTGCGATTGCTCAAGATGAACTGCTCAGTGTTGCTATTTTTGCTCATCACCGTGATTGTTAGCTACGTTGTGGCCGATTCAGAAGCACCGAACTTCGAGGATGTGTTGTCAACGAGAGAAACAAGCGCAATTGCTGCACAACCTCAGGATTTCTCACACCTGAGAGCGTAAGTGGAAGTTTTCAGGCAAACACACACCACGCACTGAATGAATGCAGAAAATCACTTACCTTGTGCACTCTTCTAAAGAAAGCGTGCCACTTAGCTGGAGTTAAAAATCGAATTGAATTAGTGAAACGCATGAACAATAGTCGAGAAACGCTTTTATTTACCAAACTTGATTCCAATCACTAGCTACAGTTCATTGCAGTTGCAACACTGTTTGTGACTGATTGTGAGTGATATTTCCGGGATTCAGTTGAAGTTTCAACGAATTTTCAATGTTCTATGATGAAAATATAGCACGGGAATCACCTGAAAATTCGAATGACTTCAGCCTAAACAGCCCTTGAAAAATGTGATCGCGATGAAACTTTCAGAAAACGACAATTTGGATGTGGTTGCGGATGTTGTGGATGCTGTCCGAATCCGATTATAGGTGTGGTCAGAATAATCAGAGCTATGATGCCCAGATGCTGTTGTTGTGTGCCACTTATACCGTGCATGCGACCGTGCTTATAGCGCATAGTTGATAATCTCGTCACATATTCATTACAATCCATTATCACATTGCTTATCTTAATAAAGTGCAGTCAATTTTATTGTTTCGTAGTTTGTTTTCTATTGTCATTTGTTGTTGTGTTTGCTAAAGGAATGCAAATGGTGCTTTATGCCGATATTAATCATGATTAAAACTTGTGATAAGAAATTGAAAACGTTTCTCGCGATGTGTATTTTTTGGCATCATTACATGGTGAATAATCATCGACTCGCATCGTTCAGCTGTTATCTTGTTTTACATTTATGTACATAGAACCAAATAAGGCGATTTATTTCGTGGCGACCGATCACAGCTATTGAAAAGGCACACAGGCTCTGCAACGATAACTCTTATTTGAGAATTACCCACCGATAAATTCTTCAAGAATTACTTATCTCTATGCTGATGAATGCTTTAAAAACTTGTTTTAAGCTATAGCATTAGGTCTGCGACCATTTATAAGGAGTTGATCTACAGTAAGTCGAAAGTCCTGCTCAACAAACTTCAGACATATTTTGAAACGTTATCACGACGCTTAGGTTTGACAATCAATCAAGATTTTATTGCTTCGCAATATTCGGGCACAGAAAAGTCCTACTCATGCACCAGTTTTTCCACAAATAATGCACAATAAACGATTCATCTCTAGGAATTTTTGTTAGAACCTTCAGGTTATCGAAAAACTCTTCAGCTTATTTCATATTCCATTTCTATGGGTCTGACTCATTAACAAGTAATTTGTCGTTGGTAGATCAACCCGCACATGTGATATCACAATGTTTAACTGCTCACGTTTAGCGCCTCTAAACCAATTAAAATACATCCCACGATTATGTGATGGAGTGCGCATTAAACATCATGCATTAGTTGTTGCTGTTTGACTCGCTGAAGTTTTTCAATCGTGACAGCAGAATTAAAATGAAATTAACGGATATTAACATCGGTATCAACCAAAACTGAAATATTCATTCATTGGTTAAGACTTCGATAATTGAATGGAGAACACACGATAATCACAAATTGATTTGCAGTACTTTCATGAGAATGTACTCAACAGCAAGAATTGTATGTATGATTAATAATCTTCCTATGATGCTTTATTTTTTCTCTTTATAATTTCTGACTGTACAAACTATTCGTTTTCAGTTGACATTAAGTGACAACATTACGAAATCACACAGCATATTTTTACATATCAGTTGTTCATTTTTTTTGACCAGTAAAGTCAAAGTGTCTTGACAAAAATATTGAACAATTTTTCCATGCTCTCTATTGCTTCATCAAGTCAGTGTATTTTAATAATAATAATATTATTAATAATCAGCGTCACCAGTACCACTCTGCTGCGTGATGGGAAGGAACTGATAACAGAGACAAAAGATTCGATGTGTTTTTATCAAAATCTAATCTCCTCTGCACTTTCCAGCTACAATGACTCAGACACAGTCGCGTTCTTCGTGCAAAATCGCACCGTTTCCATTTTGCTCACTTCTCATACCATCAGTTTCTATCGTAGTTCGTTGATCTTTCTGTTATCTTTCTGATTTTTCGTTTCATCATTCCAATAAATTAATTGTTATTTCAGAAAATGCACAATCGCTTAAATACAAATAAATTTTGGAGCTATTCTGTTGAACTTCCTCTGACAGTTACATGGTAACATGTCCTATGAATATTATCTGCTAGACGTCAACGTATTAGAGTGATGATTTTAGTTTGTGGTGTTAATATCTTATCGTTAGTGAAATATAGCAGTGACATTTGAAAAATCAATTGTCTATCATTAGCATTTGTAATGATTAATTTATAGGTTAATAAAGTAAAAATTATGAGAAAATCGAATTATCTGTTTGTTCACAACTGCACTCTTTATTGTTTACAGGACATGTTTACGTTGACATTTATGATACGGTTTTATAGTCTGAACCTTTTATGTCACCTGTTGGATTGCTTCATCGATTAACACTGAGAGCTTCTCAAAAAAAGAACACAAAAACACAAATATCTCAACTATGCGATACTAAATTGAAAATTTTAAGCAGCATTGACTTGTTGCCCAAAGAGGAAAATTTCAGAGTCGGACAAAAGGGGTTGAAGGTAATTCGATTGTTGCAATAGTGCCTTACAAATGGTTTGTCCAATAAGAGATGCATACTTTTCGCAGAGAAAAATGACTGTTAGCCACGGCTCAAAAGGGAATTGCGAGGCAATGCTATGAGAGTTTTCATGACGGCCTTACACCTTGAGTGACAAAGTTAACGTTATTTGATGCAGAATTTCCGGTGATACAACGCTCGAATACTTTACAGATATCGTAATATGTTGCTCAAGTGTCCTCTGAAATCTGTACTGTGTCAATCACTTGAATTTGATTGATTTTAGAGTTCAAACGGCGACAAACGTTACAAGCAAGCAAGCAAATAGCAAGCATGGCCAATAAGGAGGATTCTCGAAAATCGATCAGTTGCGATTATCCAATAACGCATCGTCGAACTGCTTCTAGTGGAAACGATCTACAGCAACACGGCATCCAACGGCAACGAGATGATTCCGATGGATGTGAAACGATTTCGACGATAGGGAGCACTCCAAGAAATGATAAAAGTCCAACTCAATTAACAGGATTTCCTGCAATTCCCAAGTTCGGCACTGAGTTACCAGCAGTTACGGAATGGAGGAAAACGCTGACTAGAGCGAAGTTTCGTAAAGACGATACTGCAAGCTTGTTATCGCTTGATAGGGTGCCGGGCTCGTGGAAACGGCGAAGAATTATCGTTGCAGTTGTTGTTGTTGCAATCATCTTAGTGCTGATCTTGATCGCTGTTGGTATCTATTTGGGCGTAGCAAAACCGCGGAGTGTTCATACTCATCGCAAAGGTATTTCTGAATCATTCCGAGTGACTCATGCGAATGTTCGTTGTTTTTAATCGTGACCTCAACTTGAAAATCGGAACCTCTCTCACTTAGTTTTTAAATCCTTTCTATCAATCGCTGACAAATTGGAAATGTTTTGTTGACAAATTCAGTACCATTGATTAGCAAATTTGATCATGCTATAAACGTTATCTTCAGCTAATTTATCTTTAACCTACTATTCAGGATCCAATACTTCAGAAACTATTCTGAAGATTGTATTCTCATTCAATACTGCGCATCACTCGCGTGTTCGGTTGAAGCGTCACCTCAATTTTTTGGCAGAAACGGTATAGCAATTGTTCTACTGCTCAATGATCATACGAGTGTTTCATACAATGAGCAAACCGTTTTTTTTTGAAACTTCGCACTCATTGCATTCAATAAATCACTTATCACTTCATGACAATATTTTCAAAAAATAACGTCAACCATTAACTAAAAGAAATCTTTCTTTGCGAGGGAATTGTGTTCAAACGTGTGAAAAATGAACGAACCAGCAGTTAGTTGCATGATGCTGTTTCATCATCCGCATTCTTTAAGGTTCACTCAGCAATTGAATTCAAAATGAACCACGATCAATTCATAATTTTAAAATTTAACTTAACTAAATATGGATGGTTTGCATGTAAATGCAGGTGAATTGCTTGCAAAGACTGTTCGCATAAAAATGAGTGCATTGTTGAATGCAGCTAGTAGGAAAGCATCAAATTGACATCACAAGAGATAAACAATGAATAGGTTAAAGAACAATTCAGTCACTCAATAAAATGAGATAAGGAATCAAATCATATTAATTACCTAGTGTTTTTCAACATGTAATGAAGGTAATTTGGTCGTACTGATCTGTGCTGTTGCTCATTCAGTCTCTGTCAATCATACAGTGTTTACTAGTCAATAAACTAGAAAAATCACAGATAAACATTTATCAATCGCTTACTTAATCCTCTGCAAGCATTCAACTTCACCAACAAATGATGCTTAGCATGGGTTCAATATCTTGATAATATTGGGTGTGCACTCATCATCATACTGAAGTTAAGTCCAATCCGTACCATGCTCAATTCTTTTGTGTTTCAGAAGGACAAAACCGTTGATATAATCGAAAATGTGATTAAAAAATATGAAAACAGCGAAACCGAGTTCGCATTTCAAGCGATAGGGTCATTTGAGCATAGCAACATGTCCGCCTACTTCAGGTTCAACAAAGCTTTAGCTAACCTCAACAAGTGGACATCATTGAATGAAAGCGGAGATCCAAACATGACAAGGTAAAGCATTCTATTCATTGTTTGACACATCAACATTAAGCACTGAATAGTGATGAACGTTACCATCTTTTAGAGACCAATCGGTCTAACCTACGATCAATGCACTTATATTCAGACCATTGAAAACGGTAATTTGAGACAATCTTATCAAACGTATCAATTTCAGCACTCATTCAGTGACATCTCTTTTCAGTGCCATATCATCGCTGCAAAAATCCCGATCGGTCCAGAATTCGTCGCCGTTCTCATATATTCTGTTTCCTCCACTACGGACGGACTACTCGTAAGTGAATCTTCAGTTGTCATCAATGCAATCTACCACATTTAAACAGAACTGACGATGAGTTCACTGGTGGACGAAACGCATGGCTCAGTTTACTGTAACAGCGATTTGCAAGTGGTTGATAGCCAGTTAAGGTTCTACTAGATTGACGCACACAGAGTTCAAGGATTTAAACTTCATACGGAATGCACGGAAAATAATTCTGAGACCATGGTTTATTCATAATAATGCTCAGATGCTGGACTTCTGCTTTAGTTAATTGATGCCTCTTCAACAGTTGAGGTCATTATCAGCCAGTGAATCTCAANTTGATTGAATTTCACGGGCATTCTGTCCGATAAAAATTTGCCTCCTCTAAACTACGAACTGCTAGCGTACAGCCGTGCCTCGCTCGTGCACATTAATCGATTACATTCAAAGAATGTAGTTTGTTTTTAGGTCAAATGAAACTTTTGAAGCTGACCTGCGAAAGTCTGCTGAATTAATCACCGCTAATTCTACAACATTTTCCGAAAGTATCATTGTAGCCAAAGACCAGGTGGTGCTCGACTATTTCAATAAAACTAGAAATGCTGCTGTGCACGTCATTGATGAAAGCCAGGTCAATGCATCACAGATTGCTGATAGCATTGTCGATACGATTCGTTAGTGAATTTTTGACCTTCATCAAATTTACTGCATTAAGTTTACTGCATTTAACATAAATTGAGGTTTCAGAAAAATAGAAAAAAAAGAGTGGGAAAGCTGGATGGATTCCTGATCCGTCATTGGATCGGGTTGCACTAATCAGAAGTGACCGTTGGTTTGTAAATTTCACTTAAAAAGAAAACGGTTGCACTGTTAACATGCATATCAACGAATAATCCACAAATAGAGTCGATCACTCAATGATAATCATCGATCAATACATGAGTTTCGAAGTCATTATAGTGGAATAATTCGAATCCTGTTTCAGCCGGGTCTGCAGTTTCCACGTCGGCGCCGAACACTACCTATGCAACAAGTTTAACGTCAGTTATCTCCACCACTTCAACTATTCCGACAACTTTAATGACAACCACCGTAACCTCCACAGCACCAGTGACAAATTCAATAAGTACTCGTAGTGAGACAGCTAGTACGACTTCTTCAACTGCTCTGACAACTACCGTAATCACTACAACGTTGCCGCCAAATTCAACGACAAGTCAAACCACTTCTTCAACCATTTCGATAAGTTCAACGACAACTACCGTAACCTCTACAACATCGCCAACAGATTCAACGACAACTACCGTAACCTCTACATCATCGCCAACAGATTCAACGACAACTACCGTAACCTCTACAACATCGCCAACAGTTTCAACGACAAGTCAAACGCCTTCGCCAACCAGTTCGATAAATTCGACGACAGCTACCGTAACCTCTATCGCACCACAGTCAACATCAGCTAACACGACTTCCT